TGCATTGTAAAATCAGTCTAATCAGCCACATCACTTCTTGTGGGATAAAATGAAACTTTCTGACAGCTCCCTTTTTTCTCCACCGGCATATTTTCTTAAGAATGTGTTGTTCTAGGTGCAGATCATTGAGGTCAATGAGTTGCACATTCATTTAAATCACATTAATAATCATTGCATAAATGCATAACACATTCTTCTTCATAAACTGCTTGGGGTAGCTGGCGTCACACCCGTTTGCCCTATTGACAGCGTGGAGGCCGCGCGTTTTGAAAATAAAATGCAGCAGGTTACAAAGGCACCTGATACAATAATGACAAGTGGAACAATGGTACTCCGTCTTTAAGTTAGTGTGTGTGTGTGTGTGTGTGTGTGTAGCTTGTATATTTTTGCAGGTTTTCGGAGCCATTGGGGAGATGCTCATTTGCCGTGTCATTGCAGATTTTTGGAGGGTTGCTGAGTTCGTTGTGTTGACTGGTGGACACTGCTGAATCATACAAAGGCATTTTGAGTGGGCCGACAACTACTAATCAGAGGAATTTGAGCTGAAGTCCTAGAGCCAATCAGGAACTGTTTTACTAATGGAACATGTGCTAATTATTCCAGCTGAAGTGAAGAATGTTTTACATATATGTGTGTTATGAATGTATAGCCACTATTTGATTTTTGTACATTCTTGGCGTGAGAATGACCTGAGATATATCTTCTGTATGAAAACTCAATGTATTATCCAGTGGTGATATGGTTTTTATATTATATGCATGAAGAGATGACATTGAAGTTTGCTAGCCAGGATTATTACCTTCCACAGAATGCTGTGCAATTTAGGAATTTGTCAACTGCACATGTCTTTGCGCATGTGTGTCTGTGACTGTGTGTGTGTGCCTTTATGTGTGCGTGTATATGGACGCTGGTGTCTGCGTGTATCTGTTTGTCTGTGTGTTTAAGGCTGGCCTGTCTGGCACAGTTAGAGGTGACTGCATCTCTGAATGTGTTTCTCTTTCGCCACCTCCCCCAACCCCCCACGTTCGTCCTGGCTTCTCTCTTTCCCTCTCTTTGTCTCTCACTCTCCCTCCCTCTCTCTATTTCTCACTGCCGATGTGCCAGAGCTTCCTGCCTTTTTTTCTTCTCTCTCTCTTCCCCCCCCCCTCTCTTTCCCTCTCTCTCCCTCTCCCTCTCTCTCTCCCTCCCTGCTGAAAGCTGAACCTTGCTCCCTTGAGCGATACCAACACAACATGAAGAGTTAGTTTGTGGATTCTTTTACTCGGCCAGTGGAGCATTTTAAACAGATGATAGATAGACTGCGCCGAGAAATTAACAAAGGGAAGAATGCGTTATATTTTTCTTTTCAGCAACCGGCTCTGATCCTCCAATCATGCTTAGTATGTCTGTAATCCTGTTTTGTTCACGGGGGGATTGGGGGGGGGGGGGGTGTTGCTCTTTACTGCTCTTGACCACAGAAGCATCCTTGCGCGCTCAAACCGAGTCTCTCGTTAGCGTTCCGAACATTATTCTTCCTAAATGCTCGATTTCACCAGCACTCCTTTGCGTCGGTGCCTGCTAATGCGGCGTGTACCAGGTCACCCCGGTCACAGTTCCGGTTCCGGCACATTCACAGTAGCCTGACGGGGTGATGCATCGCTTGTCTTCGGTCAGAGAGAGCGAGCCTCCCCTTCCTCCATCTGTGGCCGATCTCCTTCAAACCGGCTTTATATTTTATTACATATAATATGTATATATTTCCCCTAACCTGCCATTGTCCTCGCTCCGATTCCATTTCATTAAGCTTTTGACATACGTGGGTCTGGATATACCGGTTAAAGTACACTTAGCCAGAAGCTTTCAAACAGCTGATATATACAGATGCAAAGGTGGGGAGAGGAGCAGTGCTGAGGGAAGTGTGTTTAATTGCAGACATTACATCAAGCACTCTTTTATAGGGATGTATCATCTTGCGCTGTTTGAACGAAATAATTGCGACGTATTCAGACAGATAGAATTGCGGGTCCTGTTTCGAAATATCAGCGCCGGTGTCTCTCTGTGGAAAGTCATTGTGTTTGGGCTGGATGGGATGAAAGAGAATCTCGGGACTGTAACTAAGCAATTTTTGAATTAAGCCGGAATGGCTTTAACCAAATAGTTCTCTTCTATACGTGTCAAATGTCTCATTAAATCCATTAATGCAATAGGCCATAACTTCACTGCAAGGTCTTTTCAGTGCGGTTATTACCTGGGATTTCCGCTCCTTGAAACGTCTCGCTCAGAGTGATATAGCCAAGGACCCTCCCACTCCCTTCTCGGCGTGATGTGGTCCAGGGAAGTAATGACTCTGTGGGGTGAAAGGATGGGTGTTTTATTAACAGAAAAAAAATCAGGCTGGGAATGATTTAAGTTGATAAATAGTGAGTAATACGTACTTTTTTTAAAGCCCTATTACTATGTGGAGTGCTTCCATATAAAGAATGGAAAATTAAAGTATTCCATTTGCCTGCAAATAATGAACAAATAATCTGGTTCAGTTCTATGAAGATCAAATTAGTTTGCTCATTTGAATTAATGATTTTGTCTAGGTACAGTATATGTGTTTAACAAAATCTTGTGGCCATTGACTATTTTTTCTGTCTTATTCTAGCAATTTCTTAATGATGACCTGATGTGTATTCTTGGGTGTAACTTCCTTTCTCTGTACAATCAGCAGCAGGTGTTTTTCCCCTAACATATAGGAACCGAGCCATACCCAAACTATACTGTGAAGACTGTGTGACTATACTAGTTCCAGCGCAGTTCCAGTGCGGTTCCAGCGCAGTTCCAGCTCGCGTCGGTTTTCCACTTCAGAAGGGTTGGCTCTGTAAAGCCAACCCACTGTCTCTCTCCAACCCTGTTGCCGGGTTTGGAGAGAGACAGTGACGTAAAACTGAAGAGGCACTTATTTACTGCTCATAAATGTGCTCACTAGCAAGTCTGTGAGCATCACTGTGTTATGGTAGCATCAAACGCTAGTGGAATTAACATTTATTTCCGTAAATTTGCATTACAAATCCAGTCCATGCAGCCATTCTACAGCCTTTTTTCTACGTAGTTGGGTGGAAATTTTTGAAGTTCTGAGTTATCGGGAAAGCATAAATACAGTGCAATGTCTGATAATAATGAGTAAGATATAGAATATGCCGTTTTTTCCTTCAGATGATCTATATATATCGACTCAGAATAGTGGTATCTCCCTGTATTTTGACCAATCAGATGGTGACTCAACCAGCTCGATTTGGTCATGCTTTTGGCCTTGGTATTATGTATGGCCATGTCAGTGCAGGTATGGCTCACATAATTTATGTTTGTGGTATGGTTCGGGTTCGGCTCAGTTCTTGGTGGCAGTGAAAAAGCTCCAAGTGAGTGATCATCATACTGCTCATCCATATGGGAATTAATTTTTTATATGCTGTATTTCCTTTTCTCTTCTGAAAGCTAATTTTATTTATCACTGATTGATTGGACCTTTAGTCGCGGCTGACGTGTTTGCCGCCACGTTCTCAGTCTCCTCCGTTTCTTAATCATTCGCTCGGAAGCCTGACAGGCCCGGCAGCCCCAGCACGGTTCCCTTTGACTAAAACCTTGTAAATTAACACAATTAGCGGCAGCATCATCCCGCTAATTAGCTCCCGGCGTCTGGCGCGGCAGCTCGGCGAAACGGCTGGGAGGAAGCCATGTGGGAATCGGCACGCTGCTCTGTTTCCAAATAAACAGCGCGCTGCACTTGTGTGGCTTTGCAAGTCCCCCCCCAATGCGCGCGCGCACACACACATACACACACACACACACACCTCAAGTGGACAGTTGCAGATGTGTATAT